AAAAAAGTATATATAATAAAAGATAATCATAAAAAGTATATATAATAAAAGATAATCTATAAAAAAGTATATACAATAAAAGATAATCCATAAAAAAGTATATATAATAAAAGATAATCCATAAAAAAGTATATACAATAAAAGATAATCTATAAAAAAGTATATATAATGAAATATAATCCATAAAAAAGTATATATAATGAAATATAATCCATAAAAGAAGTATATATAATGAAATATAATCCATAAAAAAGTATATAGAATGAAAGATAATCTATAAAATCATACAGTAAAATCCATAGCTCTAAAAAGTACAGTAAACTTGATTACAAATTTTTCAAAAATAAAAATTGTAACTAGTTTTAAATGATGTTTTTATAAGTTTGTTAAATAGATCTCACAGTGTAAAATAGGTGTGACTGTAAAGTGTCATATTTGAACTCCAAATATTTTGTTTTTAGTTTCTTATCTAAGTTTGCCAGTAGGTTTTTATTTAACTAATCCTGATATTAAGACTATCTGCTGTCTTCCCTAATTTTGAAGTACTGATCAGAGGGAAGGCAGCCAGTCAGCAGCACCCTACCTCCCATCATTCATGCTAAGGGATTGACTGTTGCTTTTATAATGCATCCACAACTTAAAGTGTAGTACTATGTGGATTAAACCTGGTTTTGCCAGTTCTCAAGTCCAGAACTCTACAAAAGGGCCAACCTACACTCAAATTTATAGTAGAAGTTCAACACGTTCTTATACTTACTACTATCTGGAAGAATTCATGTTTCAAAGCTTCTGATGCTGTTAACCTCTTTTCAGGAGTTACAACCAACATCTTTCTTATCTATAAGGAAAGCAAACCTTCCATTAAACATATAGTACTCATATAGTTCACTGTACAAACTAGATGTTCTCCATTAGAATTTATATACATTTATATAAAATAACTTAAGCTCCTATCAATATGACGAGCAGTTTAGTGAAGGATGAGACAAGCCACAATTTTAAATATATACTTCAATATAAAAAATTTATTTTCATAATTTTGTGACAATTAATTGAATAATATAAAAGATGTAAATTTTGTAGAATAAATAGAATTAATATTATTACAACAATATTTCATCTTAAAGTCACAAATATGTACACAATTTTATTATCTTTAATTTTTTCTCATCCAGAACTAACCAAAACTTAAATATTTTTATCATTAAGAGGCCTACTTAATAGATTTCAAATTAAAATGCAGTAACATACAAACACGGCACTTCCTTAATTCCTCATACAAAGCAAACTATAGAAATAAAATGTACTGATGTTTGTATGACAACCCTAATTTTAATCCTAAGAGCAACAACATTACAAATGTATCATGAACATCGGACATTTACATATAATGGTGCATAGGTGTATGTGAAATAGACAAGCAGTTTACACTCACTAGATCTTTCGGGAGCTCTGTTATATCATCCCATTCTGGACTACAGAATTCATAATTTCCTTCCATTATGTTCCTCAACATAACCATTTGCTTCCGGTGCCAGCAGATTAGTTGGTTTCCCTCCATTTTGGGTTCAGAGTTCATAAATGATTATCCAAATATAGTCTTAACAAAAACACACGATAAAATTAGGTTACACTAAATTGACTGTGTCATTTCCTTTTATATACTTTATAAAAATTGTCTAGTTTCAAAGACAAGTAACAAGATTTTACAAATATTATTAACTGTGTTACGTAGATACATACTTAACCACCAATTTATGGTAGATGGTTCCATGTTACAATTTTTAGAAATGTTATGGAAACAAGTTCATGATTTCTCTACCCAATAAAGCTTTGTTTGTTTTTGGAAAAGCTACTATGGATACCTGCCATCATCCCTAACTTTGAGAAAAGTTGCAACTAACTGGCAGTACCCACTGCCAATTCTTGGATAAATCTTTGTCGATGAATAGGGGTAGTGACCATCACATTATAAAACCTCTGTGGCTGAAAAGGTGAGCATGGTTGGTCCCACATTTTGATCCCACAACTTGCAGACAGCAAGTTGAAAGTCCTAACAACTAGGCCATGCCAGGTCACCAATAAAGCTTAAAAAAATATCCTGTTATCTTTGTTAAGAGCTTGTGTTGCTTTAGATAGAGTTCAGCAAGATTGGATCATTTAATATTTTATTCAGGTTTCTTTCACAAATTAGATTAGATTAGCATGAATAATAATAATAAATACAACTAATAATAAATCCATAACATGTTATTACCTAACTCTATCTCAAGGTGGAAAAGTTATCCTTACACCTAGTGACATTGTTTTAAACTGTCATGTGAAATTGTACATTTTGCCTTCATTACACACAATTTTATACATTTCAAACCATTATATTTGTTAATCTGTTTAAAATACACAACATATATGTCTCAAACCTGTAACATAATACTTACAGGGTGTACATGATGACACCACACGCCCATCTGCCAAAACATAACAAGGACACCTGTTATACCGTAAATACATGGACTAAAACACCGTCATAATTAAATATTATAATCTGAAGAAAGCATTACCATAATTATATACCACATAGTCTAAAAATTTTATTATACTCTTAAAAACAAAACAAAAAAATTAAGACTATGTGAAGAAAATAATTATATACTATAATCTACAAAATAAAATAAAAAAAATCACGATCATATACCACACTCATAAAAAAAATCATATCCCATTTAACTCGGCACTTAATTTTGTTTTATATTTTAAATATATGACATTTTATGAACCGTTACTTATAAACAACATTGTGTACCAAAGTAGAATTAAAAACAGAAAAGAAAAAATTACAGTATAATTTGAGATACATTGCATGGGAATGTTTTAACATTATAAGACACTAATATTTACATTACTATATGTTTATCTATCTGGCTATACAATGGTAAAAAAAAACTCACATGTCTACTTCTTTATTGTAGCCTTCTGCGTCCTCATACATCGAAGCCTTAAGTAGTTCAGGAGCCAGATAACCTGGTGTTCCACACAGCTCTGTAAGGAACAGCATTATTATTATTCCAACTTACTGACTCAAATCCAAGAGTAACTCGGAAGAAATTAAATAAACAATCAATAAATAATGCCGATTCTAGAACCAGGTCTATAAAGATGGGCGCTGGATATTGAAATTAAAGAAATCACAGCACAAACCGAACTCCACAAAAATTAGCATGACTCGGTGACATGTATACCTTACCAAACTGACCCTCCTGAGGTTTTATTGCCTTGGCAAACCCAAAGTCCGTAAGCTTGATGTTGAAGTCATCATCCAAGAGAATGTTTTCCGGCTGATACAAAATCAACAGAAACAGTAATTACATAAACCGCAACATAAGCAATACAAAATTAATTTCTTTTTTTTATCATCTTTCAGAAGCCTTAATAAAAATTAACCTTTGGTGTATTGATCACACAGTGTAAAATAAAAATATCGTTTTAGTTGTACAGATTATTTAACACCTGAAAACGAATGTTTTATTGTAGACGATATACAGTAAAGTAAAAAAAAAAAAAGAGTTAAAATATACACTACTGCTATATTTCCATGTTATTCTGTAAAGCTACAACTCAACACTCTCTATGTCTTCACACTGTTGTACAACTCCAACTTATCAATGTCATTACATTTCCACAGTCCTGTAGAACTCTTAACTTAACACTATCAATATTTCCACAGTCCTGTAGAACTCTTAACTTAACACTATCAATATTTCCACAGTCCTGTGGAACTCTAACTTAACACAATCAATATTTCCACAGTCCTGTAGAACTCTAACTTAACACTATCAATATTTCCAGTCCTGTAGAACTCTAACTTAACACTATTAATATTTCCACAGTCCTGTAGAACTCTAACTTAACACTATCAATATTTCCACAGTCCTGTAGAACTCCAATTTAACACTATCAATATTTCCACAGTCCTGTAGAACTCTAACTTAACACTATCAATATTTCAATAGTGCTGTAAAGCTCCAACTTAACACTATCAATATTTCCACAGTCCTGTAGAACTCTAACTTAACACTATCAATATTTCCACAGTCCTGTAGAACTCCAATTTAACACTATCAATATTTCCAGTCCTGTAGAACTCTAACTTAACACTATCAATATTTCAATAGTGCTGTAAAACTCCAACTTAACACTATCAATATTTCCACAGTCCTGTAGAACTCCAACTTAATCAAATCACTACATTTCTAGTCTTGGATAACTCCAAGTTAATACATCACTATGTCTCCATAGTAACCATTGTGTTTCTATAGTTTATGCAACTCTAATCTAATGGTTGATTTAGGTCAGATAGATAGAAAAATTATTCTGTATTAAAAACACTTACTATTACAAATATTATCTTATAAAAACAACAAGAAAGAAACAATTATTCCCAAAACTTAGAACATTTGAATTTACTGATTCTCCATTAAAACACGGAAACTTCGATTTTATCCAAGAAAGTTGATTTTTTAATGTGTACACTTTCAAACAGTATGAATGACGAGGTTAAGTTCAATGCTGTAAGAAAGTGCTTGAAACATTGTAAAGTTAAATGAACTGATTACATCTAATCCTGAAGTTTTCTCAGTTTGACCAAATTGTAAATAAAGGCCACTGTTGAGAGGAGATTGGTACAGAACTCTTGTAAATTTGAAACATTTCTAATCTACAAAAACGACATGGGATGACAAGTACTATGGTCAACAGTATTTGGCATGAAACTTGGGTCAAGAAATAAATATATAAAGAGTACCAGTTGTGATGTTGTCCAGTTAATTTTTAAATTAAATTTTTCTTCTTTTTATTATTATTATTATTGTTACTATATATATATATATGAGGTCATTTCATAATCTTTGAATTTTGCTGGTATACCTGTTTCATAGGTTTATAACCAACTCGTATCAAATCGGCAGCATCTGCTTACATAAGTTCTTTACGTTTTAGTTAAACTATTCATGAACTGGTTATATATATCATCAAATAATATATTGTTGTATTCATTACTAAATCCTTTACCATTTTGTACATTACAGCAAGGTACTCTATTAACCCTTTCGAGACAGGTCAAGGGTGAAAGGCCAGGTCATCTCGTTTGTTGACTCGCATTCAAAATTTTATTGAACTACTATTTCTTGAATTCATGTCAATAAGTTTGGTATCAAACTGTAGATTATAATTCAAACTTTAAAACTATACATTACTCAATTTCTTAATTTAAAAGTAAATATAAAAAACACAGATAAACTATC